GACTCATAGCAACCCTATGTACAACAGCCGTAAACTCTGCTCTGTCCTGTGCCAATCGCACTGTCTCCAACACACCCATCCCGATTACCCCAGTCACTGAATCAATCCACTTCATAGAGGGCCTTCCCCTCCTGCGCTGTTCCTCCACCTTCCCAAGCATGATGTCCCTCTCCAAGAACTGGTCCCTCATTACAACATGTCCAAAGTATGTTAGACGAAGCCTCAGAACCCTTGCCTCCAGGGAGCCGCCCGGTATAACCCTTTCCAGGATGAATCTGTTTGTTTTCCTAGCAGTCCACGGTACCCTAAATAGTCTTCTCCAGCACCACAGCTCAAAGGCATCAATTCTCCTTCTATCCTCCTTAGTCACTGTCCAACTCTCTGATGCATAACAAGTGATAGCAAAGACCCTGGCCTGTATCTCCAGAAAGATACCATTGCTCTTCAGTACTTTTGGAGAGGTCCCTAACAGCAGACTTTCCCATCGCAATACGTCTTTTAATTTCCTGGCTACTGGTGCCCAGAGTATTGACTGTGGAGCAGGAAGTATCAAAAGAAAATGGAGGGAGTGCACAAGTCACTATATCAGAAGAAACTGGCTGACACAGAAGAATTTCATGAAATAACATGATCAAGAGCCTATGGTAATGAAGGAGGAAGTTCAAATTGCTCTGAAGGAATTGGTAAGAAACAAGGTTCCAGGAGTTGACAGCATACCAATTGACATTATTTCAACAGACACTGCCCTGGATGTGCTCACTAAGTTGTGCCAAGAAATCTGGAGGACAGCCAGCTGGCCCATTGACTGTAAAAGATGAATATTTCTTCCCATTCCAAAGAAAAGTGACCCAACAGAGTGTAGAAATTATTGAAAATTATCATAAATATCACATGCAAGCAAGATTCTGTTGAAAATTATACAAAAACGTTTGGAACAATATGTCAACAGAGAACTGCCAGATGTGCAGGCTGGATTTAGACAAGGTCGTGGTACTAGGGATATTATAGCTAATGTTAGATGGATCTTAGCAGAAAACAAAAAATACCAGAAGAATGTCTATCTGTATTTCATTGACTAAGGAAAGGCTTTTGACTGTGTGGATCACAACAAGCTGTGGCTGACTGTGAGAAAAATGGGAATCCCAGAACACTTGATTGTGCTAATGCGAAACCTATACTTGGACCAAGAGGCAGTCCTTAGAACAGAGCAAGGAGACACGACATGGTTCAAAATCAAGGGAGGGTCCATCAGGGATGTATTCTGTCTCCATACCTTTTCAATCTGTATGCAGAACAGATTATCCAA